AACACCTCATGAAACTCATTTCATCAATTTGTATATGTTTGCATAGGTTAGAAAGGGTTTGCTCCCCACACCGGAGCCCACGCTATAGGTTGTTGCATAGGTTGTTTATCAAAATCCTTTAGCCAGAAACCAAATCCTATAATATTATAATAGGGTTTGCTGGTGACCGTTTTTAGAAAAAGAGATAGCGACATTAATTTTCGTTTTCTCCCGAAGGAGTGCCATTATAATATCCAATCTCCACGGTACATGGCCAACCTATACACTCTTTCTCCTGTAAGTCTTTAGAACGAGGTCTGTCTCGTTGTCCAGGAAACAACCAATCAGCGACATTCCCGCCAAGGGCCTTATCAGAGTTTAAAGCCGGCTCAATCGTAATTTTACTACTCTCAAATCCCGCTGAATATACTCTAAAAAGTGCGTACAACTTCCTAATTATGCATTATAGTACGGTGCAGATAAAGCCTAGTTCACATTCGACGCAACGCCGACGGTACGGGACGTAAGGGCTTGTCGGGAGGGCTGGGGTGAGCTGTAAATCCTGTACGATTCGTACGACACGACATGCAGCAGTCGTTGCGACGTTCACCGTCGAACGGCGCGAGTCATAAGGCACGGTCCGTGACGGGGTGACTTTTGGACCTAATTTCTCGTTTTTCGGGACTTCTTTTCAATTATTTCTCCTTGAAAGAAGCGGAATCAAGTTCACAATACCAGTTTTTCGTGAAGACCAAAAAATTAGCCCTGAAAGTTGTGGCATTCAAATAATAGCCCCAGGAAATGATAGAATAGTTCGTCTGTCACGCTTCTGAACTATCCCTAAATACAATAAGTGACATGAGATCTTATGTTGCTAAAATTCAACTCAAGTCGTGCTAGCCATTCTGTGAGTTATCATGGGAAGCGCAGTGTTCGAAATGCTAAAAATTTCCAAGTCCGAATCGGGAGCAGTCGGCGCACGACGCCGTCTCCTGTTCACACTCGAATTGCAGCCGTTTTGTACGCTTGCGTCCCCGTCTACGCCCGTCTACGGTATGAAAAGTTGGATCGATCCAACTCTTCCCGTCGCTTCCCGATCTGTACGGTAGTACGGTTGCGTTCCCGTTCCTGGTGTTCACATTGGACGCCGTCAGACCGTCCCGTCGCTTCCCGTCGAATGTGAACTAGGCTTAATGAATTCTGCATAAAATGTACGGTGTCGTACTACTAAAAGCTACGCATTTCAGAAGTGTGTACGGTTTTTGCCTCCCGTACTCTTCCATCTGCACGATTTTCCTTTGTCAACAGCTAGCTGGCGGAACCCTATAAAAACCGAAGATCAAAGTCATTATATGAAAAGAGGCTCTCGAAGCCCCTAAATAGCTCCAGAAGCTATGAGTAAGAATGAAGCTCGCAACAAGAGCCCAGCATTTCATTTGCTTCTATTCTACTTTTAGTAGTCCTCAGTGGTGCTGAGTTACCAGAAGAAAATATTCTATCATACCACACCAAGTCTCTCTGCACACAAACCACAAAACTACCCAATATAAGAAGGGTACACAAGCATAATGCAAGTGGGATAAATTGTGCATGTAACCTCGTTCTAAAATAGTTAGTGCATGGCAGGGAGGGCCTTATGGCTTGTTTGCGCCCTTCAGGTTAGCCCTCGGGACTACGGCCCTCGGGCTAACCTGTCGCCATAAGGCCCTCCCTGCCATGCACTAACCTGTAATTAAAGGGGAAGTGCATCGATTTTTCGAGTATGGTCCAGAAGAAAGACAATTTGATATCGGTTCGAATGGAATATCTCTCGCTTCCATACGATAAGCCAAACTTGCCAAATCGCCAATTGTATACCCACGTTGCCATAGCAACCAGCGCAGTGATGACGTACGAAAGGCTTAGCTCCACCACAGAGAAGGTCGATCACTGCAGAATTTGGTCATTTTCAATTGGTTTATTGTATTCACGAAGTGAAAGAAGGGCTGTGTTCAATGCTGTTAGTGCAGTGAACTGTTTGTTAGTAGTCCTCTCGGTTGTGTACTGGGACGTGACACCGACAGGAGAAAGCTGGAGTGCGGAGACACCAGCAGACAAGCGAAAATAGTGAC